AAAAGAGTCCAGCCTCATTTGGCCTGAACACCTATCCGTGTGGATCCAAAAATGCTTTCGGTTTTGTGAGACCAACCGTGCAACATGTAGATTCTACGCTTCCTCCACCTATAGTAGCACACGTGCGTGTTCCCTTTCCGAAAGCCATCAAGCGTTCCACACCTCTGTGGCTACACATCACAGAGAGTATTCATCTGCACCAGGCTCAGTTGGTCTCTACCCTCCCAACGACCACTCTGAAGGCACGCGGATGTCCTTAGGTTTTGCACACGCCATTCCCGCCGTCCTGCGCTCTTCTCGGGGATCCCCAGCGTTACCGTTCGCTGCACCGGTGAACAATCTGTGTGGTACTAGGCGTGGTATTCGATCTGTGACACAGGGTCAAGTGGTCCAGTGGTGTGTGGACAGGTCAAGTCCGCCCTTGGTCCAAAACAAAGCTTTAAAAGAAGTAATTAAGGTCATGTATTGGCAAAACTCAAGTGGTCCAGTGGTGTGTGGACAGGTCCGCCCTTGGTCCTTAGAACAAAAGGACCTTTTGTGCGGACAAGTGTCGTTGAGCTCCCCGAAGGAACCTCGATACATTCTCATTGTTCATCTGGTGCTCTGGCACCCCCGGGGGGAGTGCATGCCCCGACACCCTGTTAGGGTCACAGTCCGCTGTCCAGGAGCGATAGCTCTCCAAAGCATCCTGGAGCGAGAGCTCTTTTTGGTCAGAGGTCGTCAACACCGGACACTCTACAGGTCAATGACCTCAGTTGACTGGACGTGGTACAGGTCTCAAAGACTGAATAATATTTAAAAAAACACCGGTTTTGCTGGGTCACTGGACTTGTGGGGATATTATACCGGCGAGGAAACTGGTGCTGTTGGACCAGCTGTGGTCAACTAGTCTGACTTGGTTGGGCCAGCGGTGGTTACTATATACATACGTCCAAAGGGTGTGTGTCTTCCAGTCTCAAAATCTGTCAAAGATGTCAAGCTTAAATTCTTATAAGCTTGGTGTCTCACTCGGCACCGCAGAGCAAACCACCACCGGATCCATGTCCCAAACCTGGCCGTCCTCGTCCACGCCCACCTGCAACTCTTCCTCGGCAAAACCGAGCGAAGGCCGTGACGAGCGAACGGACGAGCGACGTCGTGGAGATCGGACCTGAGTGGCCGTCGGAGTGGCGAAGTGTCCACATGTTTCGTGACGCTCCGTAAACTGAAGAAGCACACAGCTGGAAAGACAGATTCTCTTCCAAGCCAGAAGTGAGTTGCTATGTTAGGTTCAGACTTTTGTTCGCTGGTATACCTGTGGAAACATGTCTCAAGGCAGGCACATCAGCCAGAGCAAGAATAGGATACATACTGGAGTACTATACTGCGGAGTATATACCCTGCCAGCCGGGACCCTAACTTTTCCTCGGGTATGCGGACAAACCCCGGGTTTCCGGGAAATCCCTGGGTATTCTCTCAATCTGCCTGCTGAGGTAAAGTTGATTGAATTCCTTTGCATGCTGAACAATCCGGGTGGCTATCCAATTTCTTTTTTCGTTCCATTTCGTTCCATTGATATGGTTTGTTGACACTTGCTTGAATTTTATCAGGAAAAGTTCAGGTGTGAGGTAGAACCTGTGATTTTCCCGTGCTGAACCCGTGATTTACCCGTGCTAACCCGTGATTTCCTTGAAAAACGCCGTCTTTATTGAAAAACCCTATCTTTTCAAATCCGTGATTTACCCGTGCTAAACCCATGATTTAGCCGTGCAAACCCGTGAAAAAAATCACGGGTTTGAGGTCAGATGCCGAACAACTTTTGGGTACAAAAAAACGCAAATCTTCTGAACTGACACCCGTAGCCTCGATACTCAAACAAGACATTGACGCATCAGTATGCACGTGCTCAAATGCAAAGAACGATGAAAAAAGCAAAACCCCGGGTTTCCAGTGAAAACCCTGGGTATTTTGGAGAACCCTAGGTTTTCTTCGGGTGTTGGCTGTAAAGGTATATAGAGAGAGAGAGAGAGAGCGGAGGAGGAGGGACTTTGCCCGAAAAACGGTGCCCGTCACATCCACTGGATGGATCCGAAAAAACACCACCGAGACCTCCGAAATCCTTCCCATTTGTATTGAAAGAGGGAGACCTCTCCCCCAGAGAAAAAAACCCTGGAAGTCCAGAGACATAGATCAACATGTATTTCAGGAGAGGTCTCCCTATTCAAAAACACCCATGTCTTTTCTCAGAGCTTCTGGAAGGTGCAAAGGGATCTTGAACTTCACCAGTTTGGCTCGTGCATGCGGCGAAGGACTTTGCGTCTGTCGGACGGACACCGGTGGCACCGGCTCCTCGAGCTTTGTCTCGACAAGGAATGCATGGCGAATCCTCAGGTCCTGGGCGCGTGGGACGCGGATGCCGTGGGTCGACGAAGGTCAAAGGGTCACAATCCGTTGAGTCAGTTGAGTCTGTCTGAAGTTGAGGTCACGGAACCAATCCGAAAGCGAAGGGATGTACGGTGTACATAACCCCTAAGGGTCCAGGACCATCCGATTCAAATGTCCTTTGACCCCCCGGCAACGACCATTCTCTGGAAGTATACGTACTCACCTCCGGCAACGACCATCCGAAGTACGGAGGTACCTGGACCTATGGGTATTGATCTGTACACCGTACACCCCTTCGCCCTGGAATCTTGTGCTTGCCTTTGTGGGTCGGTTCCACTTACGATCGGTTCAGTCTAACGCAGAGGCCGGCGGCATCCCGTGGCCCCAGCGGGGGCGCCTCCACCTATAGCAATGGCCTCCAACCTAATGGCGATGGCTCCAACTTGCAATGACTCTCAAAAAGGCGGTTCACGCGGTATACGTGTGATTATGAAAGCCTGGTATACCGCACCCAACTTTGCCTGCAAACGTTCCAACCCACCGCGATTGGCGGTGGGAGCCCACCCCAAAATCGTGTCCAAGAATTGTTATTCTCGGAGATTTAAGATCCAGCTGTTATACCCTCCACTCCTCAGAGGAAACTGTCCAGTAGACCCCATCAGGTCACGGGGGTCCACCCGATCGGCCCACCTGGACGTCGCGATGAAGTCAGCAAGTCGAATCGCACTTATCGATGGCCTCCACCTATAGTAGCGATAGCCTCCAACCGGTCGTAGCGATGCTTGTCTTGTGGGTCTATGATTTGTGCTTGAAGGTTTGGGTCCCCTTCTCCTTATGTTGAAAAGGATCATTCAGCACTAAAAATAATAGTTCAAAACACATGTGAAGAGACTGCGCCCCCAAAAAAACTAAGTAGATGTTCTGCAAATGTGTGGCTTCAGATGTGTATACATATATTTCTTCAACATCGGACGACTGACCGCACGACTCACGATCGGACCAAGTGACTTGAACCGGTACCTGAGCCGAAGACGACCGAGTCAGGCGAGTCAGGCTCGAGTCGGGTGTCTGGTCCGAGTCAGGCGAGTGGAAGACGCTTCCCGGAAGTAGATGGTCACTGGCACTGGTCACAGTGAATTCCCAAGTCGGGGAAGTGTCAAGAAAAATGCCTTGCTGTGAGCTCAAATTGCAGGCGCCAGTCCAAATTCTTTGCGGTGGGCGACAAAAGTGTGTTCTTTGGAGAAACATGTCTTCAAACATAGATTCCCTTCGCCGTTCAAGTCAATCATAGGGCAGTACCCAGGCTGCACATACCGACCTACTCACTCACTCACTCACTGGCAACAAAGGAGTACAAAGGTCCTTTCCATTCCTTCACTCCCCTGCGGATTGGGTGCAGTGCTTAGGACCACCTGACAAACTGCTACGTCTGACCGCCATGCTGAAGAGGCACACGAAATCGTCAGGATCCTGTTAGGTGGACTATGGGGTGGGTGTCCAGTGTCTTCGGCGACATGGGTGACATGTCTTCAGGACACCCTGGATTTGGACGATTGGGACTCCCGGTTCTCAGGAACCCAAGCAAGTCCAGCAATTGATTCCTGCACCGTGCCGCCGTCAGTGGGCGATCCAAACAGTTTTGTACACGTTGAGAACCAGCAAATGACTATCACTCTTCTTCATCATCATCAGCATCCTCATCCGCACTTAGAAGACCGCTTGGCAACAGCAAACAATAGCCAATTTGGAGGTTCATGACCTAGGAGAGTTCTCGTGTTGTTGTTAGCGGCGTTAATGTCTCACAATGCCAGTGTTCGCCAGCAAACTTCCGGAAAAAAAACACGCAAAACAAAACAAAAACATGAAACACCCCAAAGCTATTCCACAGCATGAACAGACCTGGAGGCCTCGCAAACACTCCCTGGAGGCCAAGATACGAGCTTGTGAAAATCCGTTGGCCTCGTACTCGCTCCACACCCCATCACAAAGAGGTATTTCTCTTTGTTGGAGCTGTTGGCGCATCTGATTTCAACGGAAATCCCTTGAGCCGTTGGGCCAAAACCAAGTGACCATTTGCACCCTGGCAGGTGCTCCATTCCCAAATGCACTTCGAGTTCATCAGGAAAACTGACAATTTTCCCCAAACAAGAAACATCTGATCTGTGAAGCGTGACCCCAGGGCAGTGACCTGCAAACCGGCGTTAGCTTGCTCTGACCTGCAGAATCCGCCGCTTTCGCGGAAGTGGTGGAAGCCTCCCAAAGCCCAGCACATCATCCCCCATTGGGGGGGCATGGAGCCTCAGTCCCCCTCAAAACCAAGCAACCACCCAGAACGAACAACAAAAACTGTTTGAAGGATGAAAAAGCGCGAAGTCGGCTCATCTGTCCAAGCCACAGCTCGTGTTGAGCAGCGGATTTTGAAGGATTACAATAGCCAAAGACTCCCATGTATCGAATATTTGCCTAGATTGGGGTGGTTCCTAGATTGGGGTGAACGATGGTGAATTCATGTCGGTATAGGTCATATTATACCCCTTTATGTACCAGCAATCCTTGCTTTGATTCCAGCCGTTTTCCCCAGATTCATGGTCCTCTCCGCAGCTGACGCTGCGTCCGCTTCATTTGGGACGCCGTGCCTTTCCACTCGAGTTCGGGCGGATGCCGATGTATTCCAAGACCATGCCACCCTGAGCGCACATGGCAAATGCTGCGCTCAGGCACATGGCGGATGCTGCGAAGCACGGAGAAGAAGTGCTTTCGGAAAAAAGAAAAGGACAAAATGCAAAGATTCACGGTCGAAATATACCGGGCGGTACTGAAGCTGAGATGAAGCAAACATGACACATTGACCGGCCAAGCAATGCAGTAAAACATCAAGGTGCAATGTGACCCCGCCGTGGACATCATGGATGCTGAGTGATTTGTCACTCATTTGCAACATTAACTATCGACTATACCGTACCCACTCACCTGAGACTCCTCTACACACCGCACCACCCTGCTCACACATGTCAACACCTTCACCATGTGCGCCAAAAACAAATAGTTCATAGTAACACACACACACGCAACAGCGGGACGGAGGAGACTGGTCGTCTCGTCTCGTCTGGCAGGGTCTCCTGGTCTCGCGTGCGGGACGCGGCCTGGAGCTCTTTGGGCCCCTTCTTGCAGGAGACTTGTCGCGTGAGAATCGCCACTGCCAGCATGGTCTTTGTCTCCGGACACTCCTGACGTCGCCACCCCAGGACGTCTTCGCGCGTTTTCTGCCGCCCACATGAGATGAACGGGGAAGTGTAGGACTCTGAGGCTTTTGGGGTCGTGATTGAGAGATGCGGACGAGGATTCGGGAAGTGTAGACCTGCAAGCACTCTGGGAAGATGCGACTGGAGCCAATCAAGAACGATAATTGGATGATCCTGAACAGTCTGGTTCGGTGAACAATCTTATGAGTTCTCCTGGTCACTGTCTGGAATCCACAGTGAAGCTTCATGGAGCTTGCTTCGGTTCGCCTCTGGTGCTTGCCTCTGGTGGTGCTGGCTAGGTGAGATCCATGGAATCTAATTATAGGGACTGCTTCTCCGGCTTGTCAAATCTTGCCAGCCAAACCAAAAGAACGGGCCTGCTTTGGATTAACTGGGAATCTGCTGAAGTGTGTGACCCATCTCTCGCTTTGAGACCGGGTGCTGAGACTGACTGGACACCGGAACTCGAGATATGTGACTGGCAATGACTTCGTTCGCCCCCTTTGAGACCCTCATCTAATATAGATGTGTCGAACATGAGCCGTGTTCAATAGCAACATCAACAAACTACCATCGATGGTAATTCATCCACAAGAAATCTGATTCATCGACATCCGAGAACAAAATCGTAACATTCACAATGCTATCAACACCCTAATCACACGGGACGAATCATCCAGAATCAACGTTCATGCACACCCAATTCTCAACGAACCCCTTGACATCTCTTGACAAAGCCCGGTTTCTTCTTCACCTCTCCTGCCACAGGAGCCAAACATGTGGGATTTGACGTTGCTTTCGGCCTGGAGGGTGCGAATAGTGCGACATACTGAGAGGCATGTGAGCTGGACCACTTGGTTTGAAGGGTTTTTTATGGGTGCAAACTAAGCTGGTCCACATCTCCGCAACGGAGGGGTCTTGGAGGTGAATTCCTGAAGTTCCTGAACAGCTAAGCTGGTTCATCTTCCTCTTCCAAACTGGGACTTAAGAGATCTGCCACACCAGGGAAAGTGACATCATGTGGCATCATGACGACGGTCCTTTGGTCCTTTGGTCCGTTGGACCGATGGATACTGTCCCCTGAACCATATCTTCTACCCGAGTCTCGAACGGAAGACTCGCACCCCTACGCATAGGTTCCAAGTGATCCAAGTGGTCCGACTTCCGTCACATCTATATCTGCAGGTAGTGAGACGTTGTTTGGTGAATGAACCAAGTCTAGGGTGTGTATGAAATAGAAAATTGCCCAAAGACTTCTCCCCGATTGAATGCAAACCTGTGGTTGAGGGGTCTTCCATGGTCTTGCGCTTCCAACAGCTGTATGACTGCATGATGTCTGTCCCAACTGCAAGGAGCTGTTCTAACTGGATTCTAGCAAACAAACTGGATGATACACTCCCTGAGAAACAAATTGACATGCAAAACCACCTGTTTGTAGAAAAACACATGGACTTTTGGGGAGTGCAACTCCCTTTCAGCCAGTTGACCCAATGTGATGACCAATCTTTTGGTTCAGGCCCATTTTACATGTTTTTCGTGCCTTTCTGCTTGGGCCTCTTCTTGCCCGAGAGCATCTCACGTATCGTCAGCTGCGAATCCTCCTGTTGGTGTTGGGCCACGGAGATCCGCCCTGTCTGGTGTCCAAGTCCAAGAACATCAGAACACTCTCCATGGATGGGTCGAAATGCCAGCACGTGGGAGCTGGTTGAAAACACAAATTTCAGCATTTCTGAATGTTAATCTCTCATCACTTCTCATCACCTCAGCATGGATGAAAACCACAATTTGCTCCGGCTTCCACACCAACATGTCTCAAACAACGGCGTGACGGAGGATTTCGCTCCGATTTTCGGATGTTCCCATGAGGTCTGACTTCAGAACCGGAAGTAGTGTTCATCGGGGTGGATCCTCATGACATCTGCCATGCAGGTCGCACCCTGAGATGATTTCCTCGACCCTCTGGCAGCCCTGGCTTGGAAAATCATCTTCCGGTTTTAACTATTATAGCGATGGCCTCCAACCTAATAGCGTTTTAAGTAGTGGGGAGTTGGTTCTAACATGTTCTAACTTGGGCGGCAAGACCCACAGCAGCGACAGTCACGTCCGTCGGGAGAGAAAAGATCCAAAGGGAATTGTCTGGAGACCCCCAACGAAATCGAGACACATTGCCTGGAGCCTACGCACAGGGATCACGACTCAACCACTGACCTATAGAATAGATATCGAACAAAAAAATAAGATTTCCTCTGAACATGTTCCATCTACTTGAAGACCTCCATGAACAGTTGATGTCGTCTTCTCCTGCGTGAAGGCTGTGGACAGAAGCTGGGCAGCCTCATCTGCCACGGTCGTTCCCGCCACGGTCGGTGCCGGAACATTCACTGAGTTCCCGGTGAATGGTGAATGGGGTGGTGTCATCGAGACTGGCCATTTTGGGGTGAAAGCGAACATTCTAGTCAAACTCGTAGGGCCTCAAAGCACATCAAAGCACTGTTCCAGACTACAGGCTCCTTGCGCCGTGGCCACTTTCACTCCAAGACTGGTAGGTTCATCGCTGGTAGGTTCTCGTGGCCGCCCCAACTAGCTGGGGGAAGTCCCGCCCCCAGCGTTGGTGGAATCAATGAGGTGGGCGTTTTTAGTGAAAGACTTTGTTTTTTTGTCTTGCGAGGAGCAGGTGGATCTCAAAAGATAAGTTGCAGATCTCAGAAGTTAAAGGAACATGATGGAATCAACAAGTGCTGGAAGGATCTTTGGTAGGCAAACCACTAAGGGCCATGTATATAGTGCTCCTGGTGTTCCTTGCGCACAGTAGCTTTGGTAAATCAGCAAGCACAAAGCGTACCGATGACACAAAATGCGCTGATGCAATCATCCGCAAAAGGCCTGGCATGTCCAATCAACATCACCAAGTGCCAGATGTGCTAGACACGTGTCTGCAATTCTAATATTTAGATAATTATTATATACATATTAGAATATTAATATGGTTCTCTGGCAAAGGTTGAACTGAATGTCCTGTGACCCCTTCGATGGATGCCATCCAATCATCCTCATGGCCAATTGAACGAACAGTCGATCTCGACCGGACGTCCGATGTGGACGCACCGCCGCCCGGCCGAGTCCCGTGAGATGCAAGCCAATGGCCTCCTCTCGGGCGTCTGCGCTCAAGGAAGACATTGGGGCACCAAAGACTCGCGGAGATGCATGGGTCAAGGCCTTAGACCGAAAAGAGAGGCGCGTGAGCAAAAACAAGAGACGACAAGTCTGACCTGGTCAGAATTGTCAAACCATCCAAAATGTCAAACATTGTCCAATATATAAAAGCGTTTGGTGGTTGTCATTTTTGGATCAAAAGACCTCCAAAGACCCCATTTGGGTCGAACACCCACAGTTTCGCCTCTCCAAGTGGCGGTGTTGGGCCGCCACAAATCCCAACATCCATTGGGCAAGACTTGTGGCCTCCCATCCGTGCGTGCGGAAGTCATACTGTGGGGCGTCGTCGCATGATCAGTCCGGCATCCAGGTTTTCCAAAACATCCCGAGTTGCACATGAGACCAAAAGAAATTGTTCATTTATAGGATGACCATCTCAGCCTCCGATTCAGAATGGTACATTGAACCCGAATTCTCCTATAGGGATGTTCGTTCTTTTCTTCAACATGACACGACGATTCCAAGTGGTTGACCCGAAGGGTACGACCCATTGGCAAACCGCCCGGCCAGGCCCGAAGGGTCGCCGGGCCCGGCCGGAGCCCAAAACCGTTGAGCACCGGGACCTTCAGTTCGTGACCGAACTTGAGATGCGTTTCAGGTCACGAATCGTCCATAAAGAGGTCACTTACAGATGAACCAGCCGAGGATACGTACTGAAGGTCGCATTCAACATCATGATAGGAATCTGTGGGATATTGTTTTGGATGTCATGCAATAAACACGTTGCAGTATGTCTATCCTATCATGTTCTTACCCTTGCCAAAGCAATTTGAGGTTTTCTACAAGAAAAACTCTATACCTCTCCTTCTACAACTGTTAGCCGCTGTTAGCCTTGTCGTTTGTTCTTCTTCCCCTCGTTTCACAGTGCTTTTACACACTGCAACGGTTTGTGCAGTGCACTGCATGCGGGCAGTGTGCTGTGTGGAACCGTGAAAAAAAAACACATTCCGGATCAACACGGCTGTGTGGGCCAGTGTGGGCCATTGTCTACGTGGAAGGTGTTTTAGGTTC